TTTAGTTCTCTTTCTGGGGATTCCTCCTTTCCCTTCGAGTGGGGCATATTTCTTTGTCTTCCCATTATTTGTGAGACTCTTCTCTTTTGCTTCTGCTTCTTCAGTTGATCTGTCTTGATCTCCTGACTTTGTGATGTGAACTTCTATGGTAGGAGACTGCTTCTTTTACTTTCTGGATCTGCCTCTGATGATGTCAGATGTTGACCTTGTCTGACCTTAGGCAGTCTGTTCGAGACTTCCAGTAATCTACTTCAGCTGTCTCCTTCAGCTGTTACTCTCTTCACTCTGCACTCAGGAGGCCACCTTAGACAGCTCAGGGCGAGGTGGAGTCCCTCCTGGGGGTGGGGTTATTGGGTCCTTTCATGCTGCTGCCCTATGGGGGAGGAGTCCGCACTGGGATCCCGCTGGCTACTCTCTCCGTTCTCTCCCCAAAGCTTCCATCTACAGTCTTTCCTCAAGTGTCGCTAGACCTCTCTGCGCCCCCTTTAGCCAGGGATCTACTGTCTGTGGCTGCCACTCTGCGCTCAGCAGGCAGCTTAGACAGCACAGGGGAGGCGTGGAATCCCACCTGGAGGCGGGGCTTTTGGGTCTTTTGATGCCGGTGCCACTCAGGAGGCGTGGTCTCTGCCTGAGCAAGATGGCTACTGCCGCATGGGGGAGGAGTCAGCACTGAGATCCCTCCAGCTACTCTCTCAGTTCTCTCCCCAAAGCCTCCTCCCCCCGTCTCTCCTCAGGTGTCTCTAGCCCAGTCTGCCTCCACCTTTGCCGGAGACCAGGATACGTGGCAGCTGGATTGCGCTAAAGCCGATTCTTCTGTCTCCGAGATTACAAGGCTCCTCTCTCGCTATCGTTCAGTTGTTTGTTCCAGGTGATTCCTCTACAATTTCGTTGTAATTCCAGGTTGGTCTTGGGAGGAGGTCAGTGTGACTTCCACTCACTCCTCTGCCATCTTGATTCCTATATCTATTTCTTTATTTATTTTAGTTTCGTATTAAGGTGAATCTTTTTCTGAGTGTCTCCAAAGATAGTTTACAACTGACATTGTTACCAGTAGACAGTCTGTCTTGCCCTCTAGGTTGTTGAGTCTAGTGGAGAAGGTAGAGCAAGTGAGGTAAGCAACACGTCAGCAGCTGTCAGTCGCTGTTCAGTGGCCTGTTGGCTAAATCCTTTCTTAACCCCTGACTTGGTTCCAACACTTTTGAGTATTTCTACCTCAGATTCAACATTTACAAAACCAAACTCATCACCTGCTACTCCAATTTGTTCCTCCTTTTCGATTCCCTATATCATTAAAGAGTACCATTATTCTCCCCAATGTCCACACCAAAAAAAAGCATCTCATCTTCTACATACAAATGTCCATTTACCTTCTTGAATATCTATGGAATGCATCCTTCCTCTGTATCTTTATGGTTAGGTCCTTATCATGTCCTGCCAGACCTCCTGACTCATCCTCCATGCTTCTATTACTGCCTTGTGTAACTGGAGTAAGCATTGAAAAATACCTTAAAAATGCCCTGCTCCCATTAAAAACCTTGAAATGGCTTCCCTTTGAAGAGCAGATGAAACCCAAACTCCTTAGCATGACAGTTATAATCCATATCCTCTCCCATTACTTCTCTAGGATGCGCTGTCTGCACATATACTGGATATATTTATGCCTCAGTACCATCATACATTCTATACCATCTGCGTAGAATGATGGAACTATCCTCACTAACTCCTATTCATCTTCTAAGACTCATGTTTAAATATCACTCCAGATTATGTCCCTCTCTCTGTGCCACACTGGACCTGATACATAGCTCCAATAAAGCAAGTATGTTTGCCCTGCCTGGGTGAGTCAGTTGGTTGGAGCGTTTCCTGTACACCAAAAGGTTGCAGGTTTGATTTCCAGTCAGGGCACATACCTAGGTTGTGAGTTTGATCCCAGTCAGAGCACATGCAAGAGGCAAGCAATCGATGTTTCTCTCTCTCTCTCAAATCAATAAACATATCCTCAGATGAGGATTAAACATTCTTTTAAAATGTTAAAAACCAATTATTCCACTCTTTCATGGTAGTCTATTTCCACATTTGCTCTCACTAGCTTATGAACAATTTTAGACCTTCCCCTCCCCCCTCATCTCTACATATCTAGGACCTGCATAAAAATATTTAATGAGTTATGAACTCTCTTCTCTGCTTTTTCATTCTTTCCAAACTACTAAGTAGGTGACTAGCAGCTGGGTGGTAGGGAGATCCTCACAATTGCAGAGGCTATGGCTCAGCCATGGCCATCTAAAATCCAGAGTAGTGTAGGGAGTCACTACCCATTCTGTGTGGCTCCACAGGTATTTAAGGTCACCGTTCCCATAGATTGTGCTTGGGATAATGGGATGAATTTGGTTGCTTCCCAAAAATAAATGCAGCCAGTCTCCATTGCCAATGTACCTTTCAGCAACATTCATGCTCTTCACTGCTCTGGGCAATTGGGTCATGAATTCTATCACTCTGGCTTGTTGAAACAGGGAGAGAAATCATTGACTTCTCCCATTGCAGCCTTAAGCATTGTTTCGTTCAAAGGTGAAGGTGATCAAGAAAGGGGAATAGATAAATAAAAGACCTTTTAAACATTGATTGGAAAATGTGAACGTTAGCTACATTAAAATAAACAAAGATATTTGGCCTATTCACATTACAACATGCCTCTAATCTAACTTTGGAAACTAGCATTTTAATAAATTATTTCAGAAAGCCTTCCTCAATGGAGATGAAACCTCAAAACCATCAAGGTCATCGCCCAATTTTATCTGTGGAGGAAAGGAAGGAGCAGAAATACAATATAAGTTCCATACCATAGAATAGGCAAGACTTGACTTTTTTCTTAAATGTTTTCTTGTTTAAAAAGAAACAGAAATGTACTACCAACAGGAGGATCTAAGGAAAACTCACTAAATGATTTTTATTTGAGTCACTCATGAAATCCAGTACATACAAATTTTGAATAATGAAAATCTTAAATCCTGAGGGGCTGCTTCTAATACGAAACTGTACTTTGAAGAGTAGAGAACATGTTGCTCTCAACATTTTAATGAATACATTAAATAAAAAGCAAATAGTTCAGGGAAGGAGTCCCACCTCCAAAGGAAAAAAAACCAAAAAAGGTAAAGCTGTCCCTGAATGGAAAGATACAGAAATTTTATATCTACTTTTCTTGTAGAAAATTAAAACCCTTTGCATAAATTTTAGTGTTACAATGTCAAGCAGCTTTTAGCAACATGATCAACTAATTCTGTTTTGTATCACAGGAGCCATTTGTTCAGCCATGTCAGTCTCATCACTCTTGGCAAACCACTGCATTGCCAAACAACTGTTAGCTGGGGGTGGAGATATTAAGGGAACAGGATCCCAGTAAATTATTGTGCTATTCCCTGTACACATTCCATTCTAAACATGGAAAATGTAGATTACACTATTAAAAGCCATGGAATTTGTAGGTAAATTCCATTAGGTTTGGCTAATAAGGTATCCCAGTTTTTGTGACCAGTGTATTAAAAAGTTCTTTGTGTTAAATGTAAGCAACCACAGGTGGTTCATTTTTTTACTTTTTATTATGAAACTAAAGCAAAATAACAGAATTTCAAAAATTAAAATACAGAATTCTAATTTTAATTCTAAACAAATATGAAATCTACACCAAAAACTAAAAATCAGGGTTTACCAATATTTAAGAATAAAAGAAAATGGCTAAAATGCATTCACAGTCATTATTTCTTCCTTATTAGCCTCAGATTTGCATCCCCTCCCTTTGTGCTTCACTTGGACAGAATACAGAAAGAATTTCTTTCCCATCTATCCTTTGGTACTAATTATAGTCTGTTACTTCAGAGGTGCTTTTGTCTTCGTACACAGTTCTTTATCTGTTCCTTCAGCAAATATGCAAGCACCTGCCTACTGGGCTAAGATGATGTGGATGTGAAGATGAATCCATCAGAGATCATGTCCTAAGATGTTCAGGGCAGATAAGATGCCAATGAATAATCAATAAATATAAATAAATTTATATGAAGTATAAAGTAATATAGCATGGGCTTCAGTATAGATAAAATATGAAACTAGGGGGATTTCAAGGAGGAAGAGATTACATTCAGCTATAGGAATGAAGGAATGCTTTGTGAGGAGAGGACTTGGGTATGGACTGTTCCTTCAAGAAGGCTTCAAAGTGGTCCTGAATGTGGTGGCCTTGATTTCTGGAGAGTAATCTTCACAATGTTAATCTTTAAAACTCTGTAAGTTTCTATCTCCTCAAACTGTTCATTTTTAAAAATGATAAAAAAATATTAATATATAAATGGCAGTTTGGGGACTTAATTATAATATCTACTATATCATTTGCGGTTCTATTATTGTCTAAACTCTTCCCCAGGTAAAATCTTGTCTAAAATGCAGAGGATGCCTAACCATGGAGTCATGACATTTAAGTATTCAACTGGGCAAAACCTACTTGCTTTAGGAGCTTTCTGAAGTCTAAAACTAAACATATATGAATATAAATGAAGATGAAATAAATTACTTAACATTCAAAAATCAGATGATGCAAAATATGGCAACACTGAAATGATATATATTAACCACAAATTTCTTTGTATGAAATGTTTTAATGAATTATGAGCCACTGACCATTACAGACTTTAAGCCTTAATATTTCTTCTTTCCAATGTAAAACCAAGATAATTAAAACTGTCTATCTCAAGTATGACAATATCATAGTATGAATGAGAGTAGTAGTAATGTCTTATACATCAACATGCTTCACTAAAGTTAAGATGTAGAGAAAGCTCCCGGTTTCTCTAGTCAACAAAGCAAATTCAGTTACACATTTTTTCTGCCCAGTTTCAGTTGAAATACAACAAATACTTCACCTTTCAATAGCACTTCTTATCCATCACACAAGCCCTTTCGCGTTTTCTTCTCTACCCTCAATATTTTTGTGAGGTAGTGAAGGGAGGGAGCAAGGATTTTTCTTTTCTTTTTTTTTTTTTTTGCAGATGAGGAAACTTCAGGTGAATTTTGAACTCAACCTTGGAAGCACATGGAAAATCATCTAGGAAGTGTTTGTTTTTAAAAATCCTTATGGTCATGTCATATCCCAGGCCAACATCAAAATCTTAGGGTATGGGACCCAAGTATTGATATTTTTCAAAACACACATGACTCCAAAGTACAGCTGAGGTTGAGAACTATTGGTTTAGATGACTTATACTCAATCTTCAAGTGCAACTGTCATCTACCTAAATGCTCTCTGAGCACCAATGAAAAAGATTCCATTTCCTTGAAAACTGTAGTAATTTGTTTTAATATTCTATATAGCTACTATTGGTCTCCAGTAACATATTATGTTATAAATGAAGGCTCTTCATTCTCCCAATGCTTGTGCTAAATATGAACCTCCATTTTATAAAATTTGCAAATGGGGTATTAGGGAATTTATGGTAAATTTTGAGTTAAGAATAGCTTGTTGTTAAATATTTAGGCAATTATTTGATTATAGGTTCAATATGCAATAACCATGTGTTTCTGTTTTCCATTCAGCACCTTCAAATCTTTGTTACAAAATAAACGTTTACTAATAAGACAAAACAGAAATTATAAACAAAACTCTCAGCCGAAGCTCTTGGAGTCGGCTGTATCACAACCTAAAAAACAAACAAGTACTTAAAAGACTTTTTAATGTTCAAACTAGCTCAATCTTCATCCTGAACCAGTTCTCTTTAATCAGATTTTAAACTTTGCCAAATTGAGTCATTCCACAGCAACAAAAATCAATTTCTGTAGCAGCTATATTCTCTAATGTATGTAACATATAATTTAACTCTGCACTATTAAATATGGTTTCCAGGTTTCTGCTTGATGTGGATATTGAAAAGAATCTTTAACAGATTTCACCTTTAAACAATATACCAAATACACAACAAATATTTGTAAACCGGTCATGTGGCAAAAATAAATCTTTGTTCATGACTGAAATCCCCTGTTTCACAGGAGTATTGATAATCTTAACTCTCATGGAGCAACCCAAAAATCCCAGCCAGCTGCTTGCTGTCCCTAACTTTATTAGATTTAATAAAGAATATGCATACAATCACAACCTTAAAAAGTACAAAGATTCCACTTGTCTTAGTCGATTCTTATCACAAATATGTATCTGAAACCATACAAGTTATGCTTTCATACCAAAAGATGTTTGCTTCTCTTCCAAAAAAAAAAAAAAAAATTTCAACTCCTGAATGTTAGATTATTAATTCAAAAGAGTATTTGTGAAATTAGTCAAAAATTCAGAATAGGAATTAATGTTAAGCTCTCCTACAGTGAAACCTTCAAAATATTGCCAACCTGAAGTTTTCAGCACAAGGTGTTTTATTTCAAGTCCCATGGGGGCAATTATCTATAAGATTAAGAACATTTTCAACATGGGTTCAGGTTGGCACTGTTCCAGGTGGGTGAGTAAACATTTTCTTGATAACCCCAATGAAGAGTTTGAGGCTTAGGTTGTTGTACGTTGTAAACAATGTGAAATTTAAAAAATTATAATATCTACAGAATTATAGTTACAAAATAAAAGGACCATTAATCAATTCTTCTTCTAAGGTCTGTGACTAACAGCTTTTATTTGAGGTCTATAAGAGCAATTGGCAAATTCTGTGTTTTTATGAGACAACTTCTCAAAAGGCCAAAAAAAAACCAGATACTGTAAGATGCACACCATTATAATTATATGTATGATTAGAAAGAAATTTGCCTTCCTTCAATCTTTATCCACTATATTAAAGGATTTTTACAATAATTTTGACAAAAAGAAAAGAACAGACTATAATAGCTAGGGAAACTGTAAACCAAAGATAATACAAAATGAGAGAATACAACACATCTCCTCTTAAAATCCTCTTCTTTGTAGTTATACCTAACCGTCCCTATATGTTATTTTAATTTTGTACCATGTAGTGGTTCTTAAGAAATTTAATTAGAACAAAGCAACCCCTTTGTCCTGTATTTTTTTTACACACATATTGTATATACAACTTTTAAAATAGCTGCACAATTTTACATCTCACTGTTAGAGAAGTGCAGTCCAAGCAGACCATGCTTCTCAATATATTAAAAATATTAAATGAAACCCAGCCAGTTTCATATTTTTCTAATAGTCAAGCTGGCTAGAAAAAAAGTGTCTGGGGAAAAAACAGGCAGTTGTAAAACAGGATCAGTCTTTCTTCAAAAACACACAACTTAAAAATCTTGTTATTTCCTTACTTTATCCCTTGTACAGCATCTCTAAGATCTCACCTTAAAAGATGGAAATAACACGTTGCTAGCTTAGAGACAAAATCTGTTGCAACATGCATATGTCAACTGCCCACTCAACCAACTGCAACCCTGAGGATTTTTCTGGCCCAGTAGAAAGAGGAAACACTAAAGATAATCTTTGCTGTAGAGTTGCTTCTCCAGTTAATAATTTCATGTGTTTTTCAAGATGTTTCTTGGACATGCATGTATGACACTGTCACTTCATGGTTCTACTTTCCACAAGCAGATACCTCCTCTTCTCTATCTTTCATCTTAAGGAAGCCACTGTCATCCATCCAAAGGTTTTCCAAGGTAAACCAAAGTCACTTCTGTGTTGCCATATACAGCAGAAACTGCTGGATATAAGCAGGCCTTTGGAAGTCCTCTAAAGGCAACCCCCAGGAATTCATATCCACGTTCAAAAGCTAAAGTCTTATCTTCCATATCCAAGATGACTCGAATTCTTTCTCCTATCTGCAAACAGATATCAAAAGAAGGTTAGAAGAAAATCCCAAAGGGCATAGCAAGAAGAAACATGACACAAATGAATGGGTTGAAAATACTAATATATACCCTAAAAATTACAGAAAAACCCAAAGAGGTTTCCAGTCAGTGAGAAACATCTAGAAGAAAGAATACAGATCAATTTCATCATAACTACTTGTTTTGATAGTTTAATTTAAGACTTGCATGGGATCTACATTTAATACTGAAAATTCAAACGTTCTTCCTTAACAGTCCTCAGATTTTATTCACTCTTTGCTTCAAGGCTTTTCTTAAGAAGGATACCACTAAAATCTATAACTTGGTATCACATTTCACCCCAAAAATGCTATTTAAACCTTTTCAAATTACTATAGCATACACGCACACACGTATGCAAGCACGCATGCACATGCACACCCAATGGAATATTATTTATCCATAAAAGAAATGCACTTTTGATGTATGCTACATGGATGCACCTTGAAAACATGCTAAGTGAAATAAGCAAGACACCAAAAGACCAATATTGTATGGATTCCACTTATATCAGGCACCTAGAATGTTCACATTTAGAGTCAGAAAGTAGAACAGAAGTTACCAGAACTTGGGGGGTGGGGGGCACAAAACGGGGAATTATTTTTTAATGAGTACAGAGTTTATGTTGAGGATGATAGAAAAATTTTGGGTATAAATAATGGTGATGGTTATACAGCAGATGTATTTAATGCCACTGAATTATATACTTAAAAATGGTTAAAATTTTAAATATTGTGTATATTTTATGATAAAAATTACATGTATTATCAAATACTTATATAAGCCTTTAGAGTTAAAGCAGTTCTATATACAATGTGGAACTTACATAGTCATGAATAGCCAAATCTGAATATAAATTCTAAAGGTGCAGAATAGGCTTTTTTTTAAATTAATTTTTAATAAGGTTTTATTTATGCTTTTTTTAGAGAGGGGAAAGGGAGGGAGAAAGAGAGGGAGAGAAACATCGATGTGTGAGAGAGACATCAACTGGCTGCCTCTCACATGTGTCCCAGTTGGGGACTGGGCCCGCAACCCGGGCATGTGTCCTGACTGGGAATCGACCCAGTGAACATTCCCTTTGCAGTATGATGTTCAACTAACTGAGCCATGCCAGTCCAGGCCAGAAAAGGTTTTTTAACAGTCACTTGGTAGGCCACTGCTCTGAAACATCTGTTCATTACAAAAAAAGCAGCACTGATTGTTAAACTAAACTGGAAACACAATATATTCAGTTATTTTTCCCATTTGAAAAAGTAAGCCAAGAATTGAGGATGTTTATCTTTATAATTTGCATCTATAAAAGGTTGTTGCATCTATATATTCAGAGGCAGAAAGTCCTAATATTTGCAATCAAAAATACTAACTTAGTACTTCCCAATTCTGATAACTCCTGTTGTTTCATTGTATTTCCTACCACAAATAACTACAAGCATCTGCTTTTTTCTTCCCTTTGTCCAACTCACAGATGACCCACACCCCATTTTATGGACCTAAGAACATCCTAATTATCATCACCACTTCTACCACCAACAAAACATGAACGATGACAACAAACAGATGAAAAGTTAATATTTTGTTGGGTATTTGTTTTGTGCTTTATTTGCATTACCTATTTTGATCCCCACATCAATCCTAGATGTTATCCCTGTTTTACAAAAAATGAAACTAAAAAAAGACTGTATTGTTCCTGCTTCACCTTTGACTGAGTATACAGCATGCACACAGCACAGGGAGTAGATAGCAGAAGTCTTGCTAGCTTCAGGTGTCAGAGAGCAAAACTTAGAGATGATAGAGTAACTGGAAACTTAAAGTAGGAACTCTAGAAGTAACAAAACCACAAAAAGGATGACCCCCAAAATCTGAGAATAAACTCTGCCCAGTACCTGTATGACCACTACATTACACAGACAGAAGAAACCTCTAAGGAACCAGGCTGAAAAAGTAGCAGGTAGAAGCCAAAGTCAATCAATCAAACAAACAAAAACTGAACAAAGACAGTAGCTGCTCCACACCATGGGTGACACAGAGTTTACAGTTTGAGTAGAGACAAGTTAACTGCCTGCCAAAAGAAAACCTATATTCTTCAGAAAAACAAAGCCATTTCTAGAGGAACAAAACATTCTACTACTACTGTATAATACATATAATGTCCTGTTTTCAATTTAAAAATTACTGGATATGAACAGAAACAGGGAAGTGTAATTTGACTCAGGGGGGAAAAAAGGCAGTCAATGAAAGAAAGTGACTCTAAGTTGGCCTTGATGTTGGATTGGCAAATATCAAAGCAGTTATTATAAAAATATGAAAGAATTAAACAAAAAAACATCTAGTATTATTGAATGCACAGATAGAGAATCTCAATAGAGAAGTGGAAACTGCAAAAAAGAACCAAGTGAAAATAGTGAAAATTCTAAAGCTGAAGAGCACAATATTTAAAATCCACTAGTCTGGCTTAATAGCAGAGTTGAAATGGCAAAAAGAAAAAATCTATGAGCTTGAAGATAGAGCAACAGAACAACAGAAATTATCCAATCCTAAAAAATAAAGAAGATTTTAAAAAAACACATAGCTTCCAAGGCACAGAGACAAGAACAATTATCAAGCAGTCCAACAATTATGTTAAGGTAATTGGATTAAATATTCAAATCAAAAGGCAGAGATTATGAGATAGTTTGATAATAAAGCAAGACCCAATTATATGCTATCTAATACAAAGACAAATTGAAAGAAAAAGGGATGATGGGGGAAGGTACCCTGCATAAGAAAGTAAGCATTAGTAAACAGAAGAAAGTTGGAGTGGCTATATAGTATCAGACAAAACAGACTTAAAGACAAGGAATATTACTTAAGTCAAAGGAGGTCATTTCATGATAAAAGAGTTAATCAGGCTGCGAGATATAACAATGATAACTCTATCATTGTTATATCATATATACATATGCACCTAATAACAGAGCTACAAAACTGACAACTAAAGAAAAAAAAAGATAAATTAGTAAGTATAGTGGAAATTTCAATACTCCTCTCAATAAATGATAGAACTGGTAGAAAGAAAAATCAGTAAGAATATAAAAGCCTTGAACATTATCAACCAACTTGACGTAATTGTCATTTATGGAATATTCCATCTGACAACAAGAATATATGTTCTTTTCGAGCACACATGGAACACTCATCAAGAGAGACCATATGCTGACACTACAACAAATCTCAGTAAGTTTAAAAGAACTGAAATCATACAGAGTATTTTCTCTGAAAAAAACCGAAGGACTTTCACTACAAAATTACCACAAGGCTAGTAGCCACAGGACTTTATCATTAATGATCATTAAGTCCAGACACCCTTCTCCTCTGGGTATTTGCAAAGCCTGAAAGGATAGTGAAGAAAGGATTCTGTGAAAGAAAACCCTTCCAGGCTTTTCTACCTCAGGAAATTGAATATATTTTTAGTTCTTCTACTTTAGTATCCATGACTTGAAGTCATTACTGAGGCTATAGCTTTCAAGACATGTTTTTCTGAAATACGCACTCCATAATTCCTTAAAATTTCTATTTTCTTATCAGGTTACTATGTTTTAGACCTATGGTAGTCATATAACTTTCACAAACAGAAACTAAAATTTTGACCCTAGAATCACAAAATTGTGGTAAAAAGCTAAAATGAAAACAATTAAAAAATGGTCCTGGCAGGGTAGCTCAGGTGGTGAGAGAGTCGTCCCAGTCTGTCCAAGCTGCAGGTTTGATCTCCAACCAGGGCACATACAAGAGGCAACCAATGAATGCAAAAATAAGTAGTAAAACAAATCGATGTTTCTCTCTCTTTCTCTCTCTCTCTCCCTTCCTCTCTTTCTCTAAAATCAGTTTTTAAAGAAATGTAGAAGTTTGCCTAAACTTGCCTGTCTTTATAGAAATCATTGACATCTGCAAAGGCTGTGAATCCACTAGCAAATTAATAAGTAGCAGAGGGTATGTGTGTACATGCACACAGGTGCATTTGTTGGGATGGGATGTCTAGAAAAAGTAGATTTAGATGTACCATGATAAAGGAGAGATGACAATCTAGAGCTCGAGTTGGCAAACTACGGCCCCTGGGCCAAATCTGGCCAGTGGTCTATAAATAAGGTTTTACTGGAACACAGCTATACTCATTCATTTACATATTATCTATGGCTGCTTTTGTGCTCTAACAACAGAGTTGATTAGTTGTGACAGAGACCACAGGGACCACAAAGCCTAAAATATTTACTATCTGGCTCTGTACTTTAGAAAAAGTTTGTTGACCCCTGATTTAAAGCAAAGATGAATTGCTCAAGGTTTAATATGTATTAAAAAACAAATACTGAGATACTAAAAAATTATCATCAGAGTAGTAAAGGCCAGTTACACTATTTAATTAAAAATTACCAAAACAACATACAAAGCTACTATATAAAATTTTGTAAATTTAAAACAAACTAAGGCATGATTTGACAAATGCTCACATCAAAGAAAATATCTAATTTCTCACCTGATATTTTGGTGCATTGTTGCATTGTGGAAAACTGCCATTGACTTCTCCATTATGTAGTAGATTATTGTCCACCAGATTCCAGCCCCAGCTCTGGTCATCACTGCCCAGCAATGCCACATAACCTTGGCACTGCATTGGGGCCCGTTTTGTGGCAATTCCAATCACTGCCACCGTACCCAGGGGCCCCTCCCACCACACTTCCCATGCATGGCGGCCCTCACTGAAACCAATCTTGGTCCTTGCACCATCAGTGCTCTGAGCAATGGGGTTTCGATGTAAAGTAAAGCCATTCTTCTTAATGTAGACATTCCTGGAGCAGTCATTAGTGCTGAAGGCATGCTGGAAAGCACGTACCTGAAAAGATGAAAAACAGTCCAAAGAAATAGAAGTTTGATTTTTCCTAAATATTAAAAAGCACCTAAACCCTAGGCTATGTGTTTTTAAACAATAAAGTTACATATTTTTAAGTAATATAATAAAATATTTCCAAAAAATGGCTAAAGTTTCAGGATGGGACACTAACATTTAAAATAAGTCAACTGTTTCATTACTGACCAAAATTCTAAACCATAGTATTATTTCCCCAAATAGACTTCTTAAAATATCAAAAGATATACACAAGAATCCATATATTTTAGAGGTGATACTGAAATGTTTATGGATGGCATAATGATATCTGGGAACTGGTTTGAAATATCCAGACTTGGAGTAGGAGAGTGGGTAGGATAAACATGAAACTAGATTGCCCATGAATTAATCATTGGTAAAGCTTGGTGATACGTATAGGGTGGTTCATTAAACTATTTTCTCTACTCTAATTTATATTCAATATTTTTATATCAGAAAGTTAAGAGATGCATCATTTTCATGTTAGCAATCCTGTCACCAAAAAGAACATTTTAAGTAAAATAGAGAACTTAGTCATAGCAGCTTTAAAGTTTCTGAAAACTTTAAATAATCACAAATGATCTAAATCCCCAGCCTTCTTGCTAAGTATTATTCATACATTGAGACAATAACACTCTCATTTTTACCAAATCACTAATCTTTTAGATAGCATTTAAATTCAACCACCGGAATTTATTAAGAGATAGCCATTAAGAACAGCTACCACTGATAGGAAAGGTTAGTCGACCTTCAGTAATTACCAGTTTCTTTAAGCTTCCAAAATAAGACAGCATAAAAATTGCTACTTTAACCCTGGCTAGTGTGGCTCAGTGGATTGAGTGCTGGCCTGTGAAACAAAAGGTCACCAGTTCAATTCCCAGTCAGGGCACATGCTTGGGTTGCAGGCCAGGTCCCCGGTAGGGGGGCGTGAGAGAGGCAACCACACATTGATGTATCTCTCCTTCTCTTTCTCTTCTCTCTAAAAATAAATAAATAAAATCTTTAAAAAAATTGCTACTCTACACAAATAGTAACAATTTCTCATATTTTAACCATTTAAAGCTTTTGGCTTGTATGTTTAAAAAAAAAACAAATAAACAAACTCTTAACTTTATTCAAAAATACCCAAAAGCAGCCAAAGGCTGGGACCAATTGCTTTAGTTAACCTGAGAAATGGGCTCCAAAATCACAGAATTTCAGCATTAGGAAGGACCTTAAAGGTCACCTGGTCCCACTCAGCGATAAGGACACAGAACTAAAAGTCAACAGCTAAATAGAGAAAGAGCCCCAAAGAGAAGTCAGGTATCCATCCAGTCCCTTCATCTACTGTTCATTTACTATTAGCCACTACTTCACTGTTTCACTGTCGTACTCCAGAGCAGACAGATTTAATAAAAAAATTAACAAACAAACCTGCTTGTTTCAAGTATCCTATGTTTTCATAAAGAGACCATAAAACTGAAGTATTCCTAAATCTCCTTCCTATCTGTTCCTACTTATAACACACTTTAAAGCACCTAAAAGATCAGAACAGGATTAAAGGGGGAGTAAAACATCCTGAAATTATTAAATAACTCAAGCAATTACCATCAAGACAACTCCTCATTATAAACATTTAATTAATACTCACCTATGCCTAGCCCTAATTCTTGTAAATACCAATTGCTTTTTTCTCTATCCTTATTTTCTTCATCACACTGACACTATTGACAACCTCTCCCTCAAAATTCTATATTTTCCACCCTGGCTGGTGTGGCTCAGTGGATTGAGTGCTGGCTTGTGAACTAAAAGGTTGCTGGTTTGATTCCCAGTCAGGGCACACGCTTGGCTTGCTGGCCAGGTCCCCAGTTGGGGGCATGAAAGAGGCAACCGATCAATGTATCTCTCACACATTGATGTTTCTCCCTGTCTCCTTCCCTTCCCCTCTCTCTGAAAATAAATAAATAAAATCTTAAAAAAAAAAAACTCTATGGCATTTTCCTATTACTCTGGACTGATCCTTCACTATAACCTTTTTTGGTGACCATCCTACCTCTGCCACCCAAACTCTCCTGACTCAGTCTTTAACCCTCTACCTGAACTCCTTCCAGAACTGTCTCTCTAAAATAGCACCTTTATTATTGATACATCTCATCCTAGTTCAGCAAACCTTGATAGTTCCATACTGATGACCCTATCAATTATAAATTCTTCTGCTGGCTTTCAAAGTCCTTCAGAAGTGGTTCTTCCTGTTTCCCTTTCTAACTTCATGTTATTCTCCCTGTCTATAGTATCAGACCTGCTCTCCTACCCCTCCGTATCCTCTATAACCAGCTCCAGTCTTACCACCTCCACGAAGCTGTTCTTAACCGGGACCACCCAGTCTCCCTAGCTTCTCTCTGCTGAATTCCTATCCACCATAGTCTACACTGTACAACACAGATCTGTATACACTCCAACCAGTTGATTCTAGTAAAAAAATATCGTGCAAAAAGTTTAATCTAACCTAATTGATCAAATCTCTTTAAGAAATACAAAGGACAGAAGAGCAACACCATGGGAATGAAATCTGCAAAATCCAGGCCAAGGGAAACTACTGATTTCTTCAACAGTAAATTGCAGGGATGGGAGGTGGGAAAATGGAGAGTGAATTTGTAGACTGAGGTAGCCTTAAGAGACATGTCAACTGTTTAACTGTTTGCCATTGGAACATTATACAGATCTTGATTAAATAAAGTGAAAATTTAAAACAAACATTTGACATTTATGAGACAATTGGAAATTTGAACACTGAACTTTTTTACATTAAGGAATTACTGCTAATTTATTTACACTTTAGAAATGTACTGATATTGTAAAGTGTTCTTATCTTTTAGAGATGGATACTAAAAAATTCAGATATGGAAAATAAATACACAAATTACTGTAATAAATAAAAACAATGTGTAGTTCTTGTCCCACAGTCTCACGCATAACCTGGATTGTACATTTATGGCAAACAGTTTTAAGACCTACTTTAGGATCTAAGTCTGAAATTTAAGGAATTATAGTTAGATGCTAAGTATGACTGGAATAATTGATGCTATTAGGTGACAGGGAAGATATGAACTTTTTAAAAAAAAAGACCAATCTTAATAGACTGACAACTCCAAACACTTTCCAGTTTTATGCTCTCCCAAGCCTGTCTCCGTCCTTCTCTCAGTTACCCAGGCTCCCTGGAAATTCAAGCTGACTCTTCCTGCTTCATCTTACTCAGCTAGTCAGCAAGCTGTCCACCTCTGTGGATTTGTTCTCTGCAACAGCTCTCCAAACCGCCCCCTACTCTCCTCTACATACTTGTTCATGTATTTGTTCTATATACTTAAGTACTTCTGGTAATAGGCACTAAACCCTGCTCTCTCCAATTCATCTTATGACCAAGTTTTTCTAAAGTAGAGCTCTTTTTTTTTAAATATATATATTTTTTATTTTTTTAATTTTAATTTATTTTTTCAAACACATTAGTCTCTGCCTACCCCCCTAAAGTAGAGCTCTTATTCTGTCACTCCCCTGTTCAAACTTCTATGGTTTCCAAGTGTAGAGCAAAGCCCAAACTATAGACTGAAGGCTGTATTTAAAGGATATCCATGGCATATCTAGTTTCAGCTTGGCTTTACAATCGTATTTCTACTTAAATTCAATTGAATTAAACTATTTTATACTTAGTCTCTCCTCTAAGCTCCAAACTGTAACAGCTGCCTATCTGAAATCTCTTGGATGTCTCAAAAACACTGTCAGTTCTATTCTACCTAAATTGACTCATTGTTTGTTCCCTAAATCTAGCCCAGGTGATCCCTGTATTATGTAAACCAGACACCTAAGAGTCATCCTTAGCACCAACCTCTTCCTCACCTCTAATCACATCTACTGTAGATTTTACTTCCTAAATTTCTCAGCATCTGCACCAACACCTACTTCCTAACTGACCTACCCATATTTCTAAGGTTCTCCTCCAACCTGTGCTCTATACTGAAGTTAGAAACAACCTCTTAAAAATATAAACTAATCGTAGCAACAATCCCCCCACACCTAACCCCCTCTTGCTTACAGTTCAAATAGTTTCCCTACAGTCTGGCCCCAGTCCACTGCTTCCATCTTAACTCAAACCTGCCTCACTTTTGCTCTCTATGCTCCAGCCACACTGATGTAGTTTCTGTACCTCAAACTCACAGGGGCTCTTCTCTCACATCTTGGCCTATCGCCTTATCCTCCAGGTTTCAGTTATAATTTTTTTTTTTTTTAGAGAAGGCCTTCCCTAACCTCCCTACCTAGGTCAAATTCTCCATTACTGATACTCAGAGTACCATGTAGCTCTCCTTCATAGTACTTACCACAGATGCAATCTTAAAACTGTGTGATTATTAGATTACTTTCCATTTTCCCCCACTAGATTGTAAGGCAAGGCATCCATAAGAGTTTGTGTCTGTTTTCATTCACTATTCCATCTACAAAAATGAGCATAGTAACAGTACTGGTATTTTTTAAAATAAAAATACAGTATATGTTGTACAAAGCCTTTGCTTTCCCCTGGTCCTGCTTTTGTTCAGGGCATTCCATCTTAGTAAAATGTTCAAATTTTCCCCAACTTTCAAATTCAGCTCAGGTACAATCTCAACCTCAAACCTTCTCCAGTCCTCCACTTAACTTGTAAATCTCTCCTTTCCCTGAACTTCTAATATATGTTTTAATATCTCTAACAGAAGCAATTTCTATTATTTGTTAGTTACTTCTACACATTTTTTTTCTCTTCTATTAGACTGAGAGCTTCTTTACCAGACTATCTGACTTCTTTTGAATTAACACTTTTATCTCAAGATACTAAAAAAAAAGCCCTCCAGCATCTGAATGAACATGTTATTAACACAAGTCTACAATACTTATAGTGCATGTAGTAGAAAGACATACAGAATATTAAAGACTTAAGAAAACTAAACTAAGAAGGAGCACAAAAGAAATAGGTAACACAGGTTGTCCCTAAGAAGGGAAACTGGGTGGCTGGCGGACAAGGACAAAAGGAAGACAGTTTGCTTTTTTTGAATGTTGACTCACACAAACACATTGTTTTACATATTATTATGTGGCTCTCGAATCATGTAAACATATCTATTACAGATCAATGTCATAATTTAACATAAGTAAAAACAGCAAACTTCCTGAAAAATAATACTTAATGAAGCCTACACATTTATGAGGTACAACAGAAAAGTGTAATCTGCGCTCTACTACATAATTTACAACTACTATCCGCTGTACATTTATACCATGTACAAATATAATGTGGTAAATTAACATGTTATATCCCTTAGTAAGAAAACAATTTGATAGACCATATTTAACAGCAATATTCCTTCCTTATCTTATTAAACTAAAACCTGCTTTATTACAGAATAATACATTTTACATCTATTTCACATGGAAAATGTTTACTCCTTATTCTGACACCCATTGGCAATCTAGCATTAAAAAACGATGTTTTCCCCTTTTTAGTTATTAACGGTGGTGGTTTTTTTTTTAATGTTCACCACATTCTAAGTCAAACTTTATCCTCTCTCACATATGTTCTTGGTAATTGCTATACTGAATAGCTGTTTTCCATCCAACTGCACTCAAGCTAGAGGCCTTTCGTTTATTTTGCCTGAAGAATCCTCTCAGCACCACTACACCTGTTACTGGACATTTTTATTCGCATATCAAGAAGGTGGGAATATGCACAAGAATCTAGAAGAAATAAAAGGCAACCAAACGGGAACTCTATGACAAAGAGAAACACCATCAAGGTGGAACTAGGAAAAAGTTGGCAAGGAAGTAGCCAGTAATAGTGGGACAAGGCAGTAATACGATGGTTAACCGATGTTGATGGGTATTGAAAGTAAGCAGGATGCCTAGGACCACAGTGACTTATTAGCTTGAAACACAGTAGAAGGAATTAAGGCGAACCTAGGTTAAAATAAAGGGAAAAAATGGTTATAAATCAGAGCTTGGAAGAGGTTGAGTGAAAGTGAGGGTAAAAACCGATTTTAAGGCAGCAGGCAGATCTAATATAATAAAGCCTATTTGGAGGACACGGAGAAAATTAACATGAGTATTGACAGTACAACAATGGGGGTGGTCTGTCTTTAAAGGGAAAGACAGCGGAGAGAGTGACGGAAACCAGGGATGGGAACCATCTAGTCCTTTAAAAAGTGTATCACGGAAGTCGGGTGGGTTAAAGAACCGAACTTCAAATAGAAGACCTTTACGGAGAGAGATGTGAGGTAAGGTATTGACTGGTGCACTAGAAAGGCGGGATGGTGAAGCGAGGCGTCTGAGTCAGAAGCTTAGATGAGAAGCACTGAGAGCGGCACGCAGGAGCGGGACTGGGGGCAGCGGCATGGCCCTGGAATCCCTCACCTTGGCCTTGTAGCTGGGCAGGTTGCAGAGAATGTCCGTGCGCAAAGCCTCTTCTGCCAGGCTGCGGGCACACAGGCTCCGCCACACCTCGCTGTTCTCATCGCCGTGCAGGCAGCGGTACCAGTGCTTGCATACCAGGGCGCAGCTCCGCAGCTCGGACAGCTCCAGGTAGGAGAACACCAACTCCAACACTCGGCAGGGCAGCCGGCCGCCAATCCCCGCGGACCCAGAGCCCAAGCTGGCGCCCGCGCCGCCGCCGCCACTGCAGCCAGCGCCGCCCGAGGCTGCCCCAGCCCCCGGGGCGGGCGCCGCCATCGCCTCACTAGCCGGCCCGAGGGCCGCCGCCACCGCCGCCGCTTCCCCCCGTCTCTGCTGGGGAGGCCAAGTCTCGCCTGGAGACCGAAGCAGCGCTCACCGCCCCTTTCCCAGCTAACCGTCCGGCCCCTCCGTCACTCCCGCCCCTGCCCGGGGGCGCCCGTCGCGCGCCCCGCCTCACTGAGGGCAGACGCGCCCGCCGCACGGGCGTTCCCTCGTCCCTCCCCCGCGCTTCAGTGCGGGCGTAGGAACCGCCCGACTCGCACGGCCTCCCCGTGGCGCGCCCGTGGGTCCGCCATGCGGGTTGAGGGCACGAAGCAAGGGCGCAAGCCCGGCTAGCTCGCGGTTCCTCTCGGCCCCGGATGTGACTGTTCGGTTGACGCGCCTCGCGCCCTACGCTACACGGGATTGGGCGCTGGTGGGTGAGGTCATCCCAACGCGCCGAGGAGGGAAGCGGGAAGAGCAGGTAGGAGTCTGGCGCCGGTGGGGTCGTGGCTGGCCTAGGTGCCTTGTCCTCTTTTGATTTAGTGGTCCCCTGTGGACATTCCTGTTGGATTTCCGTGTGTCAGCCAGGTCCGTGCTTCAAACTCCACCCTAACATATGCAACTTCTTTCCTTGCTAGCCAATATCTGCCTCCGCCGCCTTCGGCTAGGTTGGATCTTCTTTAGTTACCTTCGGCAGCTCAGGTCGTCTTTCCCTTGTTAGGCCTTCTCGTTTTCCCTGACTACCGGTGCCTACCAGAACGTGTGTCCCAATGTATATTCTGAAACTGGGGTCGCTACCATGTAATTCCCTCCCCGCAGCGTTTGGATAACCTTACTAAGTTCCACATTCTTTTGGTCAAAATACAGCCTTTCCCAGACTTCCCTACTAACTCACCGATTGATTAGTAGGCGGATTAAGACAGTGTGTTTTTAATTAGACATGCCAATGGGAGAATGACGTGGAGAGTGTAATTATAGATGGCTTCTTGGAAGGAAAAGAATGTAAACATTTGGTCCCACTAGGTTTTCTTAGCTAAAAAGTTCCAAAAAAGTTCTGACAGCCTTTAAAGACTATTTAGTAAGAGAAAATAATAACTCATGTGAGCCAGGCACTCTAGTAGGGTCTTCTACTCAGGTTTTTATAGCATTCTCAACTCTAGGAGGTAATTATTATGATAGGCCTCACAGATTCTTTCAATAGTCAACTCCACTATTTTGCCTTTATACAGTAACAAATGTTACCAGAAACTCCCTTACTGTGTATAATCCATTTCTTGTTTGCCAGTAAAAATAAAAGAACAGCAACTGTTTGCTTTCTGTTCTCCCCAGGTTTTTGTTTCTAACACTCTTTGTAACCCAGATTCTTTTCATTCTTGCTAGTGCCAGTGGCACCGCCCTTTAGTCATTTTGGTTACTCTCCAGCTTTCCACATCAAGATCAACTTTGGAAAACCAAAACGTGAAGAAAAGTTGATCTAAACTCATTACAGTGATAGTGACTATGTGGTAGTGTAATCTCAGTGTATGGAGTTTTATTTATTTTTCAGCTTTCAACCATAGGACATCCAACTTTTGTCTGGGAAGGTGCTTAACTTTTAAATCTTCAGAGATGAGAAGAGTTGATGCATCTGAGAAGGGGACAAAGAACTAGGCAGAATAAAAAGCTTTAAAGGCACAGACACTTGAAAAGGACAAGTGGGTATTTGGAGGTATGACTGGAGTAGAGAATTTAGAGTAGAGATCATCGAGTTATTAAAGATGTTGGCCTTTATCCTGTCTTTCACAGTAGAGGTGAGGTAGAGCCTTTTCACACATCTGATCAGATGATTCTGGTGCTAATCTAGTCCAAGACAATGAGGTGACTTTTTGTGGCAAAGTACCTCCCAAGTGGGCCAGGTAGAATTGCAAAATAGGAAAAGATTTTTATCATAATCTCCTTTTTTTTATACAAACATTTCATCTGCTCATCACCCTCCTGACCACGTCCCATCCCTCACTTTCAGGGTCATCCTGACTGTTCAGAATTGCCAGCTGTGCACTCCACCCTTTCTAAAAATGCCCTCAAAATACCCCACCCTTCCCCACCCACACTCCATGATCTCATTAGGTGTTAGAAGGAATCTATTATATAATTAGAGTAATTCATAATAGGATATGATTAATGGTTTTGCTGGACCCTTTAGGTATCTGTATGAGAAGTTTGTTGACTTGATACCTGAATGTGGGGATAGTGGCACTTAACTATTTCTACTTCTGGTGGGCTTTCTGGTCCCAATAAGAGAAAGACAAGAAAAAATGGCTTGACAGCTTACTTCTGAAAGATTTTCATTTAATGCAGATTTAATTACATTTTCCCTACTGTCTTTTTACCATAGCAATCTGATTGTTTAACACTTTTTGATGGTGGTTTTTTTTTATGTGTTTCAAATAGTAACAAATTTTAATTCTGCAGACTAAGTAAGGTGAGTTTGGGGACTTTGGTTGACTCATGGCTCAATGCTCTGCATGATAAATGTTGATTGACTAAAATCAAAAGCCTCGGTGTATGAATTTCTGGGGCTTCCTCAACTCTAATATTCCCTGTATTAGGTCTCTCTCTCTTTTTTAAACTAGCTAGGTAATCAGTACATATTATCCATGTGATATAGAGATAAGAAGTTTAATTTTTTTCCCCCTCTGGTACATAGACATTAAGGTATAAGCTGTCCTAGGTCTTACGAGCTTAGTAGTCTGAGAGTTACTACTGGTTCTGTTATGGAAAAATTTACAGGAACTATGTTGTTGTCTGTAAGAGTCCCTTTAATACAAAATCCATTTATTGAATTACCTGACCTCAAGACTTTGGCATGGAGCATGGCTAAATATTTTTTAAATTGAATTAAACTTTCCCAGAAAAGAATTGTATTAGGAGGAAAACCTGCTAAAACTTTTGTCTCCCAGTCAGCATTTACTTCAGTCACCTGTGGGAAACCCTGACTCATTCTTACCTTAGAGAAAACCTAGAATCCCAGCAGGGATCCAAAAGCTGTATACATACAAAATCCTAAAGCTGTAGAAGGCAGACTTCCAGATTTTAATGTTAATACACCATAGAAAAATTAAAACTCTAACTTAGGAAATAAGTGATCAGTAATCTAAGGATTCATTACAGAATTTTAAACAAAATTATTTGTAATTTAAATGGCCATTTCAATGGCTAATTCATATTTCATATTTTAAGGTAGGGTATTGTCTTTTTTATATGATAAATCAATAGTCACCACAGACAACAGTTCCTAAGCCTAAATAATAGTAATAGCTTTCATTTTTAATTATGCTAAGTGTTCTTTTTTTCTGGTTTATTTGGAACATTTGGCAAGAGACTTTGTTATGGTGGAAGATTATTTAACTAGTATTTCAATACTTGTCAGCAAAATCAAATCACCCAGGGTTCCCTTTCTTTATTGTCTCTGAGTCATTTCCTCTCCAAACCTCTCCATTAAAACTTACTGGCTTCAGTCTCTGTTTAATTAGTTTCATTTGTATACTAACTGAGTGCTCCCCCTGAGATTTTTTAAAATGTATTTTTGTCTTCCCATTTTGTCATCTTTATAAAAATTGCTTTATCTGATTTTGTGCCATTTCTGTTAACTTTGATTACCAACAGATTAGTGATTTTTTTGTAGTCTAGTTAGTGATCTGTGTGTGTGGCTAAAAGTAGGAGTGAACGGCTTTGTGTTGGGAATAGAAAATTTAAGCAGATTGCCAGATTATTTTAAATAATTTTTCAAAACAATATTAGGAAATTTAACTCTGTACCATTGGACAAAATTCAGGTGTCAAACCCAAAGATAGTAGAGCAACTATGGCAGTCTTTCACTAGGTAAATTCTCCCTTGGTTTGTGAAATGAAAACTTAAATTTGTCCAGATTTGTTTGCTTCCTCTTGTCTGACCATTTGACCATTACAGTTGTATAAATTGCCCTGATTTCCTTTTTCACTTTGCCCATAGGCAGTTGAAGCAGGGAAGTATACGGGAATTCCAGTTTATAGACCTGGGCTGCCTAGTGTATCAGGAATCTAAATTTTGTATAAAGTACTACTGTTGTGTAAGTGCGAGAAGGTGATAATGTGATTAAAAATTTGTGAGTACATTTAAAAGCAGTAAAGAATTATTAGTAGCTTTTAGTTGTTTTCTATATTTTCAGCGATATTAACAAGTAAAACTGTTGTCAAGTGGAATTGTTAGAAAAAAGTTTGTTGTTTAAGAATTTGGTATCCCAATGTAAATGTGAGATTGGATCCCTATACAAATCCTAAGGGCCAGAAGACTTTGGGCAAATTATTGAACATTTCCGAAACTTAGTTTTATTACCTGTAAAATGGAATAATACCAACCGGAATGGCTGTTTTTAGAATAAAAGTAAATAGCCTACTGATTTAGTCTCTGATGGTAAGGCTTAAGGATCTGCATTTATTTTTTTTTTTATTTTTAGATTTTATTTATTTATTTTCAGAAAGAGGGGTAGGGAAGGAGAAAGAGAGGGAGAAACATTGATAGGTTGCCTCTCGCGCACCCCTGACTAGGTACCTGGCTTGCAACCCAGGCATGTGCCTTGACTGGAATCGAACCACCAACCTTTTGGTTTGCAGGCCAGAGCTCAACCCACTGAGCCACACCAGCCAGAGCAAGGGTCTGCATTTATAACCAGCTTCCCAGATGATTACTGGTGTAATACAGGTTCTCAAATTCTAGCATGCATCAGAATCATCTGGAGGGCTTATTAAAATGTGTTGCTAAGCCCCAATTCCAGTTTGTGATTCAGTGGGTCTAAAGTGAGGTCTCACCATTTATATTTCCAAAAAGTTCCTAGGTGATGCTCATATTCTAGTCTGGAGGTGATACTGTGGTGACCATTAGTGTAATACATATGATGCTAGTTTGACCAGCCTCATAAAAATGAGAAAAAGAATAATGGTAATATTTGTAGAGCACTCATTATGTACCAGGCACTATTATATGTGCTTTACATATAGTCTCATTTAATTCTCTCTGATCCTGTGAAATAGGTGTTATTATTATCATCCCATTTTATTGAAAGGAAAGTGAGTCACAGAGAGGTTTAGTATTTTGCCCAAAGTCACCTAGCATATAGGCAGTAGAACTATTCAAATCCAAAGACTGTAGCTCCAGAGCTCACTCTCTAAAACATTATTCTGATAAAGATATAACCTGATTGTGCAGCCCTCTCTTAAAGAGTTTTTCCTAATTTAAAATAGATATATTTAGTGTTTATTCTTATGGGAGCCTTTCATCAAAGGCTGTAGAGCCAGGCCTACCTGGGTCTTTGATTGCAAGGGAAGCCCACTTCAGCATGGTCCAGCCTGGTGCACCACAACCCTGTGTTCAACTAGACTTTTGTAGACTTGATCTTCAAATGTCTTTTTTGTTGTTGTTAAGTTTTTTAGATGTCCTTTTAAAAGTATTTAAATGAAATACTATTGCATTTGTCTCCTACCATCAAGTTCTTAAGTAAAACCTGACATTATAGTTTTTTCCTCCCTCTTCACAGAGTCTCTGGGCCATTATGGCTGTCAAGTGGACTGGTGGACATTCTTCTCCTATTCTCTGCCTGAATGCAAGTCCAGAAGGGCTAGTTGTTTCTGGAGCTGAGGGTGGAGATCTCATTGCTTGGGGCCAAGATGGGACTCCACTGGGACACACATGCTTTCACGGGGCCGACGATGTTACCAGTGTCGTCTTCTCTCCCTCTTGCCCCACCAAGCTCTATGCCTCCCATGGAGAAACCATTAGCATACTGGATGTCAGATCCCTCAAAGGTTCCCTGGACCATTTTCATGTGAATGAAGAAGAAATCAATTGCCTTTCATTGAATGAAACTGAAAACCTGCTGGCTTCTGCTGATGACTCTGGGGCAATCAAAATCCTAGACTTGGAAAATAAGAAAGTTAGCAGATCACTGAAGAGACATTCCAATATCTGTTCTTCTGTGGCATTTCGACCTCAGAGGCCTCAGAGCCTGGTGTCATGTGGACTGGATATGCAGGTGATGATTTGCAAAGATTACTTGAGTAATTTCCAAATGGGATTTGCTAAATATACCTTTGAATTTTTTATTCTCTACTTAGCATCTATTTATGAACCACAAGCTTTACTTCTAACACATGTTTCATACTCAGTTTGACAAAGCCTATTAGATTGTATTCACAAAGTACTCATTAACCCTTTATCTTCCTTTCTTTTTGCTTTATTAAGTACCTACCAGAGAATACAAATATTTGCTTCTAAATATTTGTTTAAATAAAGGGGCATGCTGAAGGCAGAGCTCATCACCCACTTTCTACAAATTCTGGCTTGTTTTAAAAAAGTTGGGACTAGGTCTGTTATTTTTACTTTGAAATTCTGGGATGCATTAATTGACATATTGTATATTAGTGATAGGATCAGAGCATTATAATTATGCTGAGTTTTGAAAGGAACATCACAGATTAGCTCAAATTCAGAGGAAGGCCATTAGGAGAGTAGGTGTATGTAGAAACCCCACTATGTGGGGAACTGCAGGTGTGTAAGTTTTGGTTTTCATGAGGGGAAACGTGGAATATGCTTATGCTGGTCTAAATAGAAGTCATTAGGGAAACAGATTTTGGTTTAATAAAAGAAAGTATTCAGCCGTGGCTGGATGGCTTAGTTGGTTAAAGAGTTGTCACAATAAAACAGCATTGTAGGTTTGATCCCCAGTAAGAGCACATATAAGAAGGAGCTGATTAATGCATAAATAAGTAAGTGGAACAATAAATCAACATTTCTTTCTCTCTTTCTCTCCCCTTCTCTTTCTAAAATCAATCAGTAGAAAAACTTTTAATAAAATAAGCTGCCAAACAAAAGAAAAAGCTTTGAAATAGCTTAAACTTTCTCACAGCAGATGTGCTTCCTCTTGAGAGTAAATCTCATATCACTGGAGTGAGAATAATCATGGCTTCTTTTTGGTGAGCACTTAGTACTTGCCAATGCTTTACATATATTAGTTTCCATTCTGATTCCACCCCTGTAGATAGTTACTATTTTTTAGACATGAGGAAACTGGGATTCAAATTTAGTGTTCACACAGCTGCTTGAATTGGGATTCAAACTGCAATCTCTGTGGCTCCAAAGCCTATATTTTTTCTGTGTGATATTTCAAGCAGAATATCATTAAAAATAGAGAAAAGGGTCTTGGTTTGGGAACAGGTGACTTCCAGAAAAAGAACCATTTTATTAAATGACCGATGTTCCCAGCACCCTATTCTAGGCATTTTGTCTTTCTCAACTATATACAGTATCTTTTTTCTGAGACTGATTCTGTTAATAGCATCAGAAGTTTTGTCTTGGCCAATGATCTTTACTATGCCCTTCCCTTCCCTCCTCACCCTTTCAGAATTTAGAAATAAATGAAATTGGTTTTTGTTGTCACTATGACTACCATTCCCCCTCTCTCAGGCTACCGGCATTTAATAGGCAGAATCAGTAGATGTCCTGCAGTGCTTGGACAGTCCCTAAACAATGAAGAATTGTCCTACCAAAAATGTCTATTTAGAATTATTATTTTAGACTTAGAGGACACAATTACCCTGTAACTTCACTTGCAGGTTTTGATCAAGCCCTTTAAGATCTACAATTTTCTACCCTAGTGTTTGGTGATAATGTTCCTGCTTAGTTGTGCAGAAAGACCCACACAATCAGATGGAGAACTGTTCTAAGTAGGCAGATTATACAGTGTCTCTTTGACTAGTCATTCTTTCATCCTTAATGTATATTAGTGTTTTCTTTTAATTTAAAAACTTAATAGTCGATTTATAGTCGATTATGCATTTTCTTCCTGCAAAGAGGCTGTTTTCAGAAAACATTATTTATTCCTTTATTTTTTTAAATAAAATTCACCCTAATGGCTTTTGATGTGTTGGAATAAAATCACCAGTTGTGCCCAAAATTTTTGGAGCATTCTTCAACAGAGAATATGTTTAGTCTTTGTACCTGTGCTGCCTATGCCTCAGTAAGCTTACTACAGTGTAAAATATGTGTATCAAATCAATTTGAAACACACATGATATAAGCCATATTAGTTTTCAATCACTGGTTCATTATTTAGCTATTAGACATGGCAATACATAATTAGGTGTGCAAAAATGACCTGTATTCTTCCAATTAGATAAGAAGTAGACATCCAGAATTTACCATTTTGAGTCCAGTTCTAGGCGAGAAGCTTTAGTGGCAGACAACTGCTAGAGACCAGGATAAGAAATATTTTGTGAAAAGGAGGCCTAGGTAATTGCTTGACTGCTAAAAATTGCTAAAAGTTCACTGTAGATTATCTTCTGCATTGCGTTGTGATATAACAATAGTGACTAAGACAACACAAACATGCTTTTAAAAAATTATTTCCTGCCCTGACTTGTGTGGCTCACATTGCAAACAAACATTGTCAGTTCAATTCCTGATCAGGGTATATACCTGGGTTATGAGCCACGTCCCCCCGTTGGAGGAGTATGAGAGGCAATCCGTCGATGTTTCTCTCCCTCTCTTCCTCCCTTCTCCTCTCTAAAAATAAGTAAATAAAATCTCTAAAAAGAAAGAAAATATTTCTTTATGGTGAAACTATAATTTCTTCCACAATTTACCTTTTAAAACCTGATTATCCAATATTATTATTATTTTTTAATTGATTGATTTTAGAGAGGGAGGAAGGAATAAAGAGAGAAAAACACTGACCAGTTACCTTCTGAACCCGCAACCTTTTCAGTTCATAGAACAACCATCTAACCCACTGAGCCACACATTACTCTAAACTTTAAGAATATCCAGCCTGTGGGAGAGTCCAAGAATGTAGTTATAATAGTGGAAAGGAGTTCTTATCAAGTTAATTTTTAGTTGTATCTCTCAGAGCAAATGCATTTATTTTATATCAAGGCATAAATTGAAATAACTGGCCACACACAGTAGATATGTTCAACACACCTATCATTATTATAGAAATTACTAAAATTAGATCTTTTCATTTAGATAGGCTTAAATAATCAGACATAGCATACTCTCAAGAATCTTTTTTTCCCCTCACCCAAGGATTTGTTCACTGATTTGAGAGAGAAAAACATCGATCACTTGCTTCCCGTATGCGTGGAACCGGCAACCTAGGTATTTGCCCTGACTGGGGATTGAACCTACCATCTGAGGCACAGGACCATGCTCTAACCAACTGACCCGGCTAGAGCACTTCGGGATCTTTTTATATTTTATTTTTTTATTTATTCTTAAAGGTTTTATTTTTAGAGAGAGAGAGAGGAAAAGAGGGAGAGATACATCGATCTGCTGTCTCTTGCACTCCCCCAATTGGGGACCTGGCCAGCAACCCAGGCATATGCCCTGACTGGGAATTGAACATATGACTTTTTGTTTCACAGGCTGGCACTCAATCAACTGAGTCACACCAGCCCAGAGCTATTTTTTTTTTTTTTAAATACTCAGACAGTGTACTCTCCCAAAGAAAGAAGAGAGTAATCATCAGTGGCCAATAGCAGTTGCAAAAGCAACACCAGAAGCTGGCTTCATGCTCAGGAGGAGAACCTGTACCCGCCGCCTCATGGTTTTGGATGCTCTACACATTCAGAGAAACTTCTCTAGTAACAAACTATAGAAACAATCCCTGGAAGTATAATGTTGAGAGTCAGGGATCTTAAGAACAAAATGATTAATTAAGATATTTGAGACTGCTTAGTTTTATATGAAATAGGTATAAATAATATTTATAGTATATGTGAAGGTATAGAGAATAACAATACCTGCGTACCCACCGCTGAAATACAGGATTTGTGTTTGGTTTTTTTTTTTAAGGTTATTTCTTTATTTTTAGAGGAGAAGGGAGGGAGAAAGGGAGAAAAACATCGATGTATAAAAGACATCCATTGGTTGCCTCTCACATGCCCCCAACTGAGGACCCGGCCTGCAACCCAGGCCTGTGCCCTGACAGGGAATCAAACCAGTGACCTTTTGGTTCAGAGGCCAGCACTCAGTCCACTGAGCCACACCAGCCAGGGGCTGAAATATAGGGTTTTTTGGTAAAAATCTTTGGAAATTTGAAATCCTAAATTTCTACAGTATACATGATTTCCCCTCTCCCCAGTACCCACACCTGATAATAAATGGTTCAAAGGTTTCTTCTTGTTTCTGGAGTTTGAGAGATCATTAGTACCAACAAGTAAGGATCAGGATGATAAAGGAGGCCTTTTGTTCCTTGAAAATCAATCTTTTGTGTGGAAAGAAATGTTTTTGCAGGAGGAAAAATTTGTGTGTGTTTATTGTATGGACAAATGTTTGAGCAGGATCACTTTGATATGATTGCATTCACTTCTAAATATTGGCCAGTTGTCCACTCTCTCCCTTTTATGTTTTATATGCCATAACGTCCCAACTCTTGTATTTTTTTCCTTCACTAGCTCTCTTGCTGAGGCTGATACTGCTTGACTAGGTAGTTGAGAAATTGTGAAACACCTTGGAATCTCTGGCAGTTAGGAAGAATTAAGAACTATAAAGAGAATGTCCAGGCAGGAACAGTTTGGAAATTGATTCTTCAATACTTGGAAATGATTCTTGAATTGGTAGAATCTGGGATGGTTATTACATATTTAGGTGATTTAATTAATACAAAAATGTTTATGCTGCCGGAAACACTTTGGGAATAGGTCATGTTTGGATGTCTTAGGAGAACAATAAATATAATACAGGTACTTAAGGGGGATCTGTGAGAAAGAACTTTGGGGGTACTTGCCAATAATTAAGCTAGCAAATTCTGGAGTGTTAATTTTCCTGTGTTGAGGGTTTTTTTAAAATAGAGATTAATTTCCACATCAAGTTTTAGTACTCATTCATTTTTTGTTATATTTTCTGTTATTTCTTCATTTTACTTAAATTATTTTAATTTGTTAGTAGTCTCTTGGCTTCACCCCAAAAATGATGGCTGGCTACTCAATTTAAAAGGATTTTCAGGACTTACCCTAGTAGAAGCGAATAGAAAACCAAATTCTTTAATAGCATTAACCTTGTCAATTCAGGTCTATGCTGTTGCCTATCTAAACAGGTCCTGCTTATCCTTTGTGTCCATTTTAAATTGTGAGTCATAATTCAGGGATGATACTAAATGGTAAAAAAAAAACCAAAACAACAAAAAATGGCATTCTCTCTAGAAGTATTAAGACTATTTTCCTTTTCAAATTGGATACTACAGGAAGAAAATGAATCACTACAGAATAAAATCAATTCACAAAACTTATTTCATTTTAATTAGCACTTCATTTAAATTAATAGATCCAACATCATGGTCAGGAACAACAAAAAAGCCAACTATATCATGATGTCAGATTAATCAACAGACATATTTGGAATTTCTTCTCTTTTCCAGGCATTATACTAGGCATTAGCAAAGATGAATTAAACCTCAAGAAACTGACAAGATAGTAGTATAAGTCAGTTAACAGAATGAGAATTAAGTATGGGAAAGAGAAGCAGGCTGGAATCATTGGGAAAGCCTTCTTGGAGAGACAGGGACTTCAGTTAAGCCCCCAGGGTGGGTAATTTGGGTAATAAGGAGAGGAAGGGTAGGCATTTTTACTTGTAACCAGCATAGACTTAAATTAATAAATTTCATAATCTTCTATTTTACTTGCAGAAACGAGAATAGAATGACCTAAAGAAAACACAACTGCTTAATAATTTGGGTTACATTTTAATGAGTTTGTTAATTGAAAGTTATTCAGGATCTTGTTTTCTAAATTCTACCATACTGTCCTTTGGCATTCTAGTTTTAACACCAGGGTAGCATTTCACTGGCATGTTGTAGTTTTCTCTAAACTCTCTCTTAATGTTGCTGGAAATATATCCTACTAATCACTCTAAGACTACTTTGGTGATTTTATTGGAAGCAGAATAAGCATGGTAGTTGAACAAGATGTGTAGAACTCTGTTTGACTGTGTAACTTCCTTTTATTTAAAGGTGATACTGTGGAACCTTCAGAAAGCTCGGCCACTCTGGATTACAAATTTACAGGAGGATGAAACAGAAGAAATGAAGAGCCCACAATCACCTGGTCAGCTTTTAAACCCTGCTCTAGCTCATTCTGTGTCTGTGGCATCGTGTGGCAATATTTTTAGTTGTGGTGCAGAAGATGGTAAGGTTCGAATCTTTAGGGTAACGGGAGTCAAGTGTGAACAAGAACTGGGATTTAAGGGCCACACTTTGGGGGTATCCCAGGTCTGCTTTCTGCCAGAATCTTACTTGCTGCTTACTGGAGGGAATGATGGGAAGATATTGTTGTGGGATGTAAGCAGTGAAGTTGAGAAAAAACACAGGAGTCCTACAAAACATACCCACAGGAAGAACACTAAAAGAGCAACTTACACCAAGCAGGGTGGAAACAGTAATGCTTCAGTAACAGATGAAGAACAGGGCAAATTTTTACCAAAGCTAAGTATTGAACATGGAGAAAAAGTAAACTGGCTCTTGAGTACAAAAATAAAGGGTTACCAAAGTATATTAGTAGCTGATCAAACTAGTTGTATATCTGTATATCCCTTAAATGAATTTTAAATCCAATAAAAAACATTTGAAAAACTGTGGCAAACTTTTTAAGTTAAAAAAAAAAATGCTGTTTCTTTGTTTAAAGTGTTTGTCATATGTACTATTCCATTGTATAAATTTTAAGACGTTTGAACAAAAGAAGATAATTGGGTAATACTTCTTATAGTAAATGACATTAAATTTTAGGAAAAGGGAACTAACATTCCTTGAGTACTGAACATATACCATTGATTTTACATATATTTCATTTTTTATTCCAAGTCAGTGATTTCTTCCTGTTTTATTGCCATAGGAATTGAGACTCAGAGATGTTAAGTAACTTGAGAACCCAGGAAATTTGCAGGTACAATTACTTGCCTGCAAAGGATCTCAGTTGTCTTGTCAAGCCTCCTGCCTTAGGGAAGTCCACATGCTGATCCAAATGTGGTAACTACAGTAGTTATAACATGAGTTATTTCATATCCTAAGATGCTATGAGGAGCCTTACCAGATTGGAGTAGGAAACCTGTCCTTGTATGTTCTGTGTAGAGCGCAGAAGGCTTTGCTGACAATTTATCTTTTGCTATTTCTAAAGGGAAGATTTAAGGGTCAAATCAGTTTAGGATATTATGCAGCAATCCAGGCTATGATGCTGGTAGGACCAAGAATAAGCTGAAGTCACAAGTAAGTTTAAGATATAAGATAAAAAGGAGATAGAAGAGGTAGAAAATAGACGTCAAGATAGTGTGTCAATATTGTTTCTTTTCATTATCATCTGAATTGCTGTCTTTCTTACATGTTCTTGCAGCTTCTGGTTGTACATCCTACTCTTACATTCCAAGTTTTGAAGAGAGAATCTGATTATCCTTGTTTGAGGATAACTCTTTTTGATAAGTTCAATTTTAGGCAGAACACTTGTTGCAAGTGACAGAAACCAAATTTGAATTTGCTTTAGAGGATAAAAAGGAATTTATTGATTCACACAACTGAGAAGTCCAATGATAGTTGGCATGTACTGCTGGGGTAGCTAAGCTGATAGGATATAAGTCTATTCTCATAGTAATTTTGAGCCTAGAAACAGTCATGCCTAAAACAAGTGTATTCCTGGAGCCTCTTTTTTTTTTTTTTTTTTCTATTTTAGCTTAAGCTGTTTGAGCTAGATTTTTTAAACTTCCAACTAAAAGAATCCTAACCAATTAAGTCGGCAATCAGTAAATATTGTTTAGTGATTTCACTTGGAATTTAAGGAAAGGGGGGGAGTACCATCTTGGCCCTAAAAAAATTATTGACAAAGGACCCTATCCTGAGCACTACAGAAACAAGATTCTAATCCCAGCACAGGGGAAGGTTTTTGGCCATGTTGGGCCTTAGTTTCCTTACTTGAAAATGAGGGGGTTAAATGAAGATATCCCATAAGGGAATATGCCACTGTATTATGGAATGAAAACATCTTCATAATATTGTTCTTGGCCAATAGTTAAAATACTTATTAAAATGTCAGGAAAGACTAATTATCATTGGTCAATCTCTGGAGGCTTTAGAGGGATCTTCTGAAAAATTACCCAAGTACAGCATCATTTTACCTATTGAGCATGAATAATTTTGTGTGAGCAAGGTAAGCATATTTAAGCCAGATTGAAACAGTCTTAAACATCTTTTGGTTGCTGATAACACATACCCTCTCAGACTACCTAAGCAAAAAGGAAAATTCACTATCAGGACATAGGTGGGGGAGCAGAATTCTCTCTTTCTTTTTTTTAAATCTTCACACAAGTATATGTTTATTGATTTTAGAGAGAGGAAGGGAGAGAAACATCGATTGTCTGCTTCTTTGTACATAATGGCTTTCACTTGGTAGAAGATGCCTTTCAGCAACCCATTTCACTTTCAGAAACCAAGTGATTTATGTCTGTGTTCCAGGTCTCCTAAGAGAATTTGATTGGTCCAACTTAGTCAAGTGCCTGTCTGATCCAATCAGGTCTCTTTGGGAACGGGGGAGGGCTGTTGCTTATTATTGACATTGTCAAAGGGACCTACCCCAATTGGTGGGGGGATAGTTCTCAGAGAAGGGGAGCATGGACTGAACCAATAATCCTAAAAGATCTACAACCATTGATATTTTGGTAAATGTACAGTGAAAATTATATGCAAAATTAAGCATTCTTAGGTCAGCTGTTTTGCTGCAGTTTTACTCAATTTGCAAGCAGCAGAGACATGCCCAACTTATTTTAGTTAATGAGAGTTCGAGAAAACAAAGAAGTAAGGAAGTAAGCAAAAGAAAGCACCACAGCTTAGGCTTATAGAGAAATGGGATAGTATTCTGAATATAGCTTAACTCTAGTAGTCTGCCAACCATTCAGACAACAAATAAGAACTTAAGTGGTGACCCATCTAAAGTGGGCTTCTGATGTCCCCCATCTGTTTTGTAGGCTGAAAATGTCCTTTGAAGACAGCAGGTCCTAATCCCTGGAACCTGTAAATGTTACTTTAGTTGATAAAAGGGTCTTTGCAAATATAAAGTTATAAATCATAAAGGATTATGTTAAAAGAACATAGTCATAGTAATTATATTTGCCTTTTTTTTATTAGAATGTAAGATGTTTGAGGGCAAGCTTTTTGCCCTATTCCGTTGCAAAGATTATGATCTCGCCTGTCCTGGACCCCCCGCCCCCCAACTCACACAAACAGTACTCATTAAATATTAAATGAATCAAGGGAGATCCAGAAGGTGCCAATGTTAAAATTAGATGTGGATAGGAAAAATAGAAAAAAGTAATAAAAGTCAACTTGAAGGAAGCTGGTGGCAGGGTTGCCTGCTAAACAGACTGAACCTGTTGCACAAAATTTTTAACACCAGAAGTTAAACTTAGGTCTCCCAACCAGTGTTCAATTTACATGCCCCCAGACATGCTCATTTCACATTTAATGTTCCCTCCAAATTATAATCATTTTGTGTTCAGCATGGACAGTCTGGAGACTGAAGCAGTGCCGCCCAGTTGTTTCTCACTGCCAAGGGCAAAAATACCTTCAAGATTAATCAAACATACTCTGGCAGAATTGTATGCAATCCTGGTACCTTAACCTATGAACAGCTCTCCCTTGACCTCAGTTTTCCTATTTATAAGCAGAGAATTAGAGAAAAACAGTAATATGTGGCACATGTGATTTATATGTATGTATGTGTATTTTGTTGTCTGAACTATTTGAAAGTGAAATACCATGACACTTGATCTCAAAATACATCAACATGCTTCTCCTAAAAAAGGTACTTTCCAGTATAACCATAATACTGATAATCATATCTAAGAAACTTAGCAATAATTCACATTCTTGCCCTTGACCAGCCAACTGCAACTTAGTATCCTTACTGCACTAATCTGGTGGTAGAAGCCAGAACTGCAGAAGACAGGCCTTTCAGCCATGAGCAAAGCTTACGGAGGTAAAAGTCTGGGGCCAAGCAGGACCTTGTAGCTCAGTCTGAAAGGTGAACAGGGGTGGATCTCCTTTGTAGCCAACAGTCTTCCTGTGGGGTATTCCAAGAGGGGAAGATTGCCCCTTCCATCAGGTTAAGGTTAATTTTAAAGTAAGCTGCCAGGCCAGAGGGACACTAGAATAAACAAGGTACCCTGCTATTACCACCACCACATGGGCCATATTCCAACCAGTGAAGCAGAATTTAATCTAGGCCCAGGAAAGGATGTGGGAGAAATTCAGAACATCTCAACATCTGGGGAGCCTCTGCTATACCCTGGAACTCGTGGTGGAAGAAAGGGTTGGGCTGAGATTTAATAGAGCCTCCATCAGCTCCTCTTCTCTGTAGCCATAAAAAATGCTCGAGAGAAGTGACAAAGCTCACTTGGACATGATTTTCCTGTAATCATTCTAGCCAATGAATGAAGAAACATCCAGAAGATGCAGTGATCGAGTAAAAACAAATTCTATTAACTTACAGATGTTGACACAACAGATAACAAGGAAGTAGTGAACTAAAAATTGAGCACTAAATAAATGTTGAGCACATTTTTGTTTACTTAGCTGCTGTGTTTATACTTAGAATTTCTACAAAGTAACCCATCAAATGTGATTTATTATGAATGAAATATAGTGAAAGAATGTGTTGATAAGAATTTTATGTCCTGAGTTCACAGATTCAACAAAATCATCTACTTTTCAAACCTGAATTTACTCATAACAATTTGTTACACTCTCAGGAGTTTAATTATTGAATTCATTAAGTATTATAGCTGGGATAAACAAGATTGTTCATTGTGTTACAGGCCAATGTGTGGTTATATGTCAATTTTTTTCATAATGATTTTTAATATTAAGAGCCCTGCTGGGCAACTCAGTTGCTTAGAACATCATCCCCATATGCCAACATTGCAGGTTCAATCTCCCACCAAGTCACGCACAAAAAGCACCCAATGAATGCATAAATAAGTGGAACAACAAATCAATGTTTCTCTCTCCCCCTTCTCTCTAAAATCAATATATATATTTTTAACTTACTAAGATATAAAAGACAACTAAGAAACTTGGATCTAATCATTGAATTCAGTAAAGTTTCAGAATATAAAATCAATACACACGTCAGTTGCTTTCTTATATACTAACAGTGAAACATCTGAAAAAGAAAGAAACCTATTCCAGTCACACTAGAGTCAAAAGTGATAAAAATACCTAGAATAAATTTAACCAATAAAGTGAAAGATCTGTGAAATGAAAACTATAAGACTTTGCTGAAAGAAACAACAACAAAATAGAAGGGCATCCCATGTTCATGGATTGGAAGAGTTAATAGTGTTAAAATATTTGTGCTGTTCAAAGCTATTTAGATTCAACACAATCCCTACCAAATTTCCAATGGCACTTTTTACAGGAAAAGAAAAAGCAATCCTAAAATATTTACAAAACAACCTGCATTGCCAAAGTAATACTAAGAAAGGAGAACAAAGCCAGAGGTAACAACACTTCCAAATTTCAAGTGACTACAAAACTATCATAATTAAAACAGTATGATACTAAAAAAAAATATGTTACTGGCATAAAAATAG